CACTTGTTGGCTATCGCTAAGAATACCTTCCTGTTGCAGTTTATTGCAGCGGAGCAGATGTCAGCTGTTAGCCCGTCTGGTCCAGGGGCCTTTTTGGGGTTTAGTGTTTGTAACACTGATTCAAGCTCCGCTTCTGCAAAAGGTGGGTCATCTTCTGACAAACCTAGGTCTTTGTTAATTTCCGTCAGCTCTCGTATTTTGGTGTGGTATGGCTGATCTGTTTCCACACAGTCGTCAGGGTAAAATGTTTGGGCCAAGAGTTCTGCCGACTCTTTTGGTGTCAGAGTTTCCCCTTGGATGTTTCTTAGGAGCATGTCCTCATATCTTCTTGAGGATTTCCGGATAACTCTGTAAATTTTATCCCACATGCTCTCCCTTTCCTGTGTCGTGCAGAATTCCTTCCAGCTTTCGGTTTGCGCCTCCTCAACTTTTATGGTGTATTGTTGTTTAAAACTTATGTATTCGTCTATTACGTGTTGTCTTCGACTTGGTGCCGCATTTCTAATACGTCTTTTTTTCCTATGGACTTCTTTTTTGAGTTGGTTGAGGGATTTTGACCACCATGGGGGCGTTGCATTCACCCCCCTCATGCCCATTTTCGGAATAGTCTCATCACAAGATTCCTGGATTCCTTTTGTGTAGGCTATTGTGATGGATTCCAGATCGTCATGGATTTCCGCCTCCTCAATTAGTGTGGGAGTTATGGCTCTTTCTTTTAGAAGGGATCTAAAGCGTGTTGAGAAGTCCGACCAGTTTGCCTTTCTGGTGTTGTATTTGCGCGTTGTGCAGGGCCGTAATTGTGTCAAGACCGCTTTGGTGCGCAGTGTAAACATAATCGCGTTGTGGTCTGATGTAATTAGGCTTCTCTCCACTCTCCAGTCCTCCACATTGCCGAGAAGTGACGAACTGCAAGCAGTGACGTCTACTATGCTCGAACAAATTCTCCCCCTTCTGTATGTTTCGAAGGTAGGCGTGTCACCCGTGTTCAGAATATGGAGATCCATTTCATTGAGGAAGGTGTTATATGCCGCGCCTCTTTCCAAAATAACTTTACTGTTTTATTATCTTTTAAGATCTTAAGATTTTTTCTGATTCCGCGGACTAATGGATGGAAGTTTTCCGGTGATTTCAATGATTGCAGTCCTGATTGGGAGTCGCTGTAGATGCTAAAGACACTGTCCTTATGCTTCAACATAAGTTCTGTGGCTTGGTATAGTGCGTAAAGTTCGGCTTGGTATACTGTGCAGAAGGATTCAAGCTTGAACTTTTTACTTAAAATTTCAGTGTTATCGCTCCACACAGATAGCGCTGCTCCTACCTTCCCGTCAATTTTACTCCCATCGGTGTATATCTGTGTCACCTTTAGCTTTTCTTTTGTTTCTTCCATCTTTTCCGGTTGTTTACTTTCTATTGTACTAAAAATTATTTCGTCTTCTGTGGCTGGGTGCTCGGCTTCTATATACAGTACCTTTTCTTCAACTTTTCTGTCTCCCAGGATGTCCTCCTGCGGTTTGCCACGTTTTGCTTCATACAGCCTTGCTGCTTCCCGCAAGCGGACATCCAGAGGTAACAGTCCCGTTAATATCAGTGCCGAATTCAGCGATACGGTCCTGTAGGCTTTACATATTTTTTGTGTGAAGCCCCGTTGCAAGGTGTTCAGATGTTTTTGCACGGTTATTTTTTTTGATGCACTTGCCCATACACTGGCTGCATAGAGCACGATCGGCTCGACGACTGACACATAGATGGTCCTGATGATTTCCGAATTCAATCCCCAAGAAATTTTTGCTGTCTTTACTAACTGTTTGTATATATTTGTAACCTTGCGACATATATGTACAACATGACTATGGAAGGTTAACTTTTTATCTATTATAAGGCCTAATAATTTAATCTCATCTACTATTTTTATGTTTGTTCCGCCCATGTGGAGTTGTGGTGTGTCGTAATTAAGTTTTTTTGGTGATAATTATTGCATTTGTTTTGTGTGCAGCAAAACTAAGTTTGTTGCGCACACCCCAATCATACACAAGGGCGAGAGTTCTATTTGCTTTTTCTTCAATTTTGGGAATTCTTTGTCCGGAGAAGACCAGGACGACATCGTCCGCAAAGGCTTGGCAGTAAACTTGCTCCCTATCCATTAAGTCCAATAAAGGGTCCAGTAATAAATTCCAAAACGTAGGCCCCGCTATAGATCCCTGCACGCATCCTTTGGATGTGGATCTTTCGACTTCTTTATCTGCGTATCTTAACTTTATTTTTCGGTTTTCGAAATAGCTATTAACAACTTTGCGGAGGTTTTGGGGACACTTTTTCTCTAATAGTTGGCATTTTATGGCAGGCCACCAAGCGTTGTCAAAAGCTCCCTGTATGTCTAGAGATATAATAAGGCTTATCTTTTTATCTTTGAGGTTTACTCTTATGTGTTGCAACAGATCATACAGGGAGTCTTCCGTACTTCGCTGGGGCACAAACCCATATTGCCTTGGATTACTTTTTAGCAAGATGTGCCATCGTAGTCTTTTAACTATCAGTTTTTCTAAAATCTTACCTAATATTGAAAGCAATCCAATGGGTCTATGGGCCTTGGGGTGGGTATAGTCATTTCTACCAGGCTTTTTGAGGACTATTACAACAGCCTCCTTCCATGGTGTTGGATAATGAGCAAGCTGCAAGCATTTGTTGACCATTGATAGAAAGAGTTCTTCATTTGTTCCTATTGCCGCAGTACATATATCCATTGTAAAACCGTCAGATCCAGGTGCCTTTTTAGTACTAAAACTTCCCATAACGTTTCTTAGTTCAGCTTTAGTGAATGGCGGATCCTGTGTGTCATTTGGTTGGTATTGATGTAGATTGTTAGCTTTTTCTCTTACTTTTCCGTGTTCAGTATTATCTACACTACTGTCATCTACTGGAAAAAAGCTATCTGCTAACCATGCTGCCGATTCATCAGGACACAAGGCCTTTCCGCCATTCACTAATAGCTGATCCTGTTGTCTTTTAGGTGTTTTTCTAATAACCCTGTATATCCTATCCCAGAAACTTTCGCGATCCTGTTTTGTACAGTACTCCTTCCAACTATTTGTTTGTGCACTAAGTGCCTCTTTTTCATATTTCATTTTTGCCTCCAGATATTGCTGTACTACGTGTTCCCTTCTATGCCTTGCAGCACATCGAACTCTTCTTCGTTTGGTAATCATTGCCCTTTTCATTTCTTCTAGTTCTCTAGTCCACCATGGTATGTATGTTTTTTCTTTTGTATTTAGTTTCGGAAATATTTTCTTCACATGCTTTATTTATACCCTCAATATATGAAGCTATAATGTTTTCCAAAACCTCCCTTGATACAATTTTTTCGACTGCTGCTATTTCAATTTTATTTTCTTCTAGATAGTTATTAAATGTTGTTTTAAAATCTGTCCAGTTAGCTTTTTTAGTGTTATAAATTCTAGTGGTTTGAATTTTTCTTTTTTCTTGCGGTTTATCTAAGTTGACCGAGAAAACTATTGCATTATGATCTGAACTTATTAAATCTTTGTCCACCCTCCAATCTTGAATATGACTTAATAAATTTTCGTTACATGCTGTTATGTCTACATAACTTGTGTATAATTTGCCCCCTCTGATTGTATCAAAAGTAGGTTCTGTTCCTTCGTTTAATATATGTAGACCCATTTCGTCCAATGCTTCCTGTAGTGCCATACCTCGATGATCTATTGAAGTGCTTCCCCACCAGGTGTTCCATGCATTTGAATCTCCACCAATTAATGTATATTTAGCTGTTTGTGTTTTGACTATTTTTTCAATTTGTTTAAGATATGGTTCTATGGGTAAATAATCTTCAAAGTATATTGAAATTGCTACTATTGTCCATTTATCAGTCTTTAGTGTGGCAATTACAATGTTTTCCGTAACCAAAGTAGGGTCCTCTATTATATTTATATCCGGATCGAAAACAATTATAGCTGCTTTGTTCGGCTTTTCTTTTCGTTGACATTGTACTATTCTACTACCTGGTGGTTGCTGTACTACTCCTGTAGCTGCTGTATATGGTTCTTGTACTAAGGCTATTGAGATATTTTTACTACGTGCTTCAATAAAAACCTCCTGTGTGGCTAGCTTCTTTCTTTGTAGGTTTATTTGTATAAGTTTATATATTTTCTTACTGGGATTGACGTGCAGGGATTGCGTCACTTTGGTGTTAACTTTCTCGTCTTAACAATAGGCTACGCTACTTCTTGCAATTGCTTCCCATTTTTTGCGTATAGGACATCTGTTATCGAAGCTGTTATGGTCAGTTTTATCGCTTTTTGCCAGGTGACAATTTCGGCACGTTGGTATATCTCCTGAAAGCCATCTTGGGCAGTCCGCTCTTAAATGTGGTCCGGAGCAGTGGCTACACAGTGCAATAGACTCCTTACACAGTTTATTTCCGTGGCCGTATCCCAGACATTTTGTACATTGCACCAGGGGTGACTGATCCTGAACTCGTATCCTTTGTAGATCGATTTGGATACGGCCTACAGTTGTCATGCGTTGCCAAACTTTAGGAGACACCTGTAGGATTATGTGATTCTCATGCGGATTTCGTGCTTTTTTCCTGTACCTAATAGATATTCTAATGTCTTCTGGCCCTAAATTTTCGATGAAATGTTTATTTTGATTTTTGATTGCTTTAATAATATCCTCGTCCGTATTATAAGTCAATACATCTTTTAATATTACAAGCGGATCTTTATTCTTTGTTTCTTGTATATCTAATTTTTGTTCCGAATTTTCAATTTTGTCTCTCAGCTTTTTTAAATCCTCCTTAGTCTCACAGCTTAGAATTACTTTCTGTTCCTTCGCCTTCCTTACTCTGTCTACACGGATTCCAGAAGATTTTGCATCAACTGCCTCTCTTATTTTGTCAATAACTTCTTGGCTAGTATCCTTCTCACTTTTTGATGAAACAATTATTGAATGCATTGACGCATAATTTGTTGTTTGCGAGCTACGAGCTGCAATTTCAGCATATGTATAATTTCCAGATTCTTTCTTGTTAAAATCGTTGTGTATTTGCTCCACTTGATGCCCTAGTTTTTTCAGCAAGATATTCGATTCTTCGATAGTCAGTCCATTTTTATTTATTTGCGCTAAGATTTCTCTAGTCGCTTGTCCATCATTTAGGCCTATTTGCATTCCGTTATTTTTTTCAGCAGCGTCTTGTGTCAAAATTTGCCTAACAGATGCTAATTCCTTTAGAATGTCCCTTACTGTTCCCTTTGCGTTTGCCCCATTAGACGTTTCCAACAGACCCTCTAACTTCTCAGCGTATTCTTTTTCCTTTCTTAATAGTTCCTCCTTTACACTTAATTTAGATTTTTCCAGTTGTAGTTGCAGTGTCTGCCGGGATTCGCTCATGCGCAATATAATCTCATACATACCAGTTATTCCATATAAAACCTTTTCTTTAATGGATGTTTTAAGGTTTCCTGATTGCTCTATTTGCGATTTTGTATCTTGCAAAAGCTTATTTGCTGCAGCCACTAGAGTCGACTGAGGCATTGTCGAAATATTTAACGAGGTATCGTGTGTTCCGCTCTGTACATTTTCTAACCTATCTTCGTTTGTTGCTGCACTTTGAAGCAGCGCTCGCTTACGCATATCAACTGTACCAGCTGAGGGTCTGTGGGCCATTTTAATAATGCAGATTTGTAGTTAACAATAATAATACTATTATAGCCTAGTAAACAAAACAAAATAAAATAAAATAAAATTGTATAATAGTAAGTAATCAAAATATCCTAATCTAACGGTGTCGGAAATATCCAACCACACCGTGTCAAGGTATGTAAGCAGTCAATTTTAACACAAATAAGAACAAGAATAAAACAAATTTACATTAAAAAAGTAAAATAATTTTTTTTTTAAACTCTATGTAGAGTTAAAAAAATTTTTAAATATCTTATAAAAACAAAACTTTCTAGAAGATATATGTCTAGTAATTTTAAAACTTTATAAAATATTCTTCAAGAAGAGACTTACAGGCTAACAAATTATCGGCTCTACAAAGAGTCTATTTCTAGACACCAGCTAAAAGCGCTCCTCGAGCCCTATCCAGGGAACCCAAACTCGGTATACCTAGCCCAAAAGGTTCCCAAGTAACAGCGCTTTCAAATTATTAGGTTAGGTTAGGTTAGGTTAGGTTAGGTTAGGTTAGGTTAGGTTAGGTTAGGTTAGGTTAGGTTAGGTTAGGTTAGGTTAGGTTAGGTTAGGTTAGGTTAGGTTAGGTTAGGTTAGGTTAGGTTAGGTTAGGTTAGGTTAGGGTTAGGTTAGGTTAGGTTAGGTTAGGTTAGGTTAGGTTAGGTTAGGTTAGGTTAGGTTAGGTTAGGTTAGGTTAGGTTAGGTTAGGTTAGGTTAGGATGGTAGGTTAGGTTAGGTTAGGTTAGGTTAGGTTAGGTTAGGTTAGGTTAGGTTAGGTTGGGTTGGGTTAGGTTAGGTTAGGTTAGGTTAGGTTAGGTTAGGTTAGGTTAGGTTAGGTTAGGTTAGGTTAGGTTAGGTTAGGTTAGGTTAGGTTAGGTTAGGTTAGGTTAGGTTAGGTTAGGTTAGGTTAGGTTAGGTTAGGTTTTTTTTTTTTTTTTTTTTTTTTTTTTTGTATGTGTTGCTTTTTTCCTCTGACATAGAGGGTCAGAGACATTGTCAGCTTGACACGGACTTTAATTACTTGTTTTTTATTTCCTTGTCCTTGCTATTGTATAGGGTGTAGAGGACTCCGGGTTTTCGTTCGGGAGTCCTACTACTCTTAACCTAATGCACACAAAATTTGTCATTTAATTTTTAATTTTAAAGTCCTTTTACATACCTTTGTCACTTAACTAATTACTCAATTTAAAATTATCTTAAGGTACATTATCTGTTTTTGTTTGAGCAACACACTTTCCTTACATGATCATTTTTACATTTAAAGCGGTTCATTCTCTCTGAATATATTTTCTATATTCACAAGGAAGCCCCGAGTGGCTATCTTGCATTTGCAATTCTTGCCTTAAATTTATTTTAATGAACTTAGACAATCAAAATTCAACTAATATTAAAATAATAAGTAGCTTCTTGTATTTAATAGTTACGGTATAAAAAACTCCAAAAAATTTTTTTTTTATTTTTTTTTTTTTTAAATATATTATTTTAATTTCTGTTATTTTTAACGACCCTATTGATTAATCCTTCGCAGAATTTAATAAATTTGTTTCGAGTCGTTTTATTACCCAACAATGTATGTAATTTGGCTTCTTCGAGTCTTTCTCCAGTTAACGCCTCAAAATCGTGCCTTTGTTTTCCAAACCTAGGACATTCTAGAACTACGTGCAGCACTGTCTCTTCCACTCCTGGCTCACAGACGCATGAAGGATTCTCCTTGCATCGGAATCGGTACAGATACTCGGAGAAACCACCATGCCCAGTCATCGCTTGGATCATTACCGGAGACAGTGCCGTCGCCCTGGTCACCTTATAGGCGTCTTTGACACTTGGGAGGAATTTCTTCGTGATTTGACCTGTTTCACTCTCTTCGTACCTTTGGTTCCATTTTTCTATGGATATATCAGAGAGGTGAAGGAGTGGTGAAAGCGGCAATAGCCGTTTTTGATGAAAACATCTATGTTACTCAATGTCCGACTCTCACTACGAATAACATCGAGGTTGTTAAGATACAAATGAACTCCCAGGAGATAGGACTGATTTCTCTGTACTTGGAACCGGATTCACTCATCGAACCTTACATTTGCCAACTTAAAGAAATAATGATAAAAATGGGTAAAACGGAAGTACTAATAGGAGGAGATACAAATGCGTGGAGCCCATGGTGGGGAAGTGCGAAGGAAGACGGACGCGGACAAGCGCTTGCAGGTGCGCTTGATGAGCTCGGTTTACACATACTAAACGAGGGAGATCTGCCAACATTTGACACAATCAGAGGCGGCAAAAGATTCAGTAGTCACGTTGACATTACAGTGTGCTCTGAAAATCTTTTAAAATTGGTGGATGACTGGAAGGTAAACGAGGGCATAACAAGTTCGGACCACAACACAATACTATTCAAAATTAAAAGCATAAAATCTTCTGGAAAAATAATTAAACGGACAACAAGGATATACAATAGCAAAAATGCAAAATGGAGTCAGTTTCATGAGAAACTGACTCAATTATTGAGTGAAAGAAAAATTACCAAAATAAAAATAGACAGTATAAGAAATAGCATAGATTTAGAAAAACATTTAGAGCAATATTTAAACGTAGTAAAAGAAGCATGCGATGCTACAATTCCAAAAAAGAAAAATCATACAAAACTTACCTTGCCGTGGTGGAATGATGAGCTTGCTCTACTAAAGAAGGATGTCACCACCAAAAAAGCGCCGAATAAGATGTGCTGCTCCCGTGCGGAGAGCCGATGTTGTTGCAGCGTACCTGGAAGCGAAAAACACATATGAACATGAATCAAAAAAGGCTCAGGTAAAAAGTTGGAAGGAGTTCTGCAGTAGACAGGACAGAGAAGGTTTGTGGGACGGGATATATCGTGTTATCGGCAGAACTACAAAAAGGCACGAAGACCTGCCTCTTTTGAAAGACGGGAAAATACTCGATAACACGGAATCAGCAAAAATGTTGGCTGAGACCTTTTATCCGGAAGACCTAATTGAGGCTGATAACGCAGAACACCAGCGTATCAGGCACTTAGCAGAAAAAGTTAATGAAGGGGCACAAGATAATTCTTGTGACCCACCATTTACAGTCGCTGAACTAAAACACGCAACCAACAGCTTCAACCCAAAAAAGGCACCGGGTGGAGACGGATTCACTGCCGATATTTGCCGTCAAGTTATCCTCCATAATCCTGAGCTGTACCTGAGCCTAGCTAATAAATGTTTAGAGTTAGGGCACTTTCCCACTGTGTGGAAAGTAGCAGTAGTCGTGGTTCTGAGAAAACCGGCGAAAGAGGACTATACGCACCCCAAAGCCTATAGACCGATAGGCTTGCTATCAATTATGGGCAAAATCCTGGAGAAAATGACTATCAGGAGAATAAAGTGGCACATTCAACCTGGGGTGAGTACTCGCCAATACGGCTTCACGCCACAGAAAAGCACCGAAGATTCCCTCTATGACATGATGGAGTATATACAAACAAAATTACGAAATAAAAAGATAATTACCATGGTATCACTTGACATAGAGGGAGCCTTCGATAGTGCATGGTGGCCGGCCATTAGATGTCGATTGGCTGAGGAAAAATGCCCCATTAACATACGACGGTTGATGGATAGTTATCTCCGGGATAGAAAAATTAACATCAGGTATGCTGGTGTAGAGCACCATCGGGCTACTTCAAAGGGGTGCGTACAAGGTTCCATAGGGGGACCGATACTGTGGAATTTGCTTCTAGACCCACTTCTCAAGGAGTTGGAGGCGAGGGGGTGACCGGTGTCAGGCTTTTGCTGACGATATTGTCCTGCTGTTTGCGGGGGGACACGGCACTCGAGATTCAGAGGCGTGCAAATGCCGCTCTGGAGCATGTTCGGATGTGGGGAATTCGTAATAAACTGAACTTTGCGCCACAAAAGACCAAGGCTATGGTATTAACCAATAAGTTAAAATACGATTCACCACGTCTGAGCATGGGCGGGATAGACATTGGCATGTCAGAGGAGATCAAAGTGCTTGGTCTTATCGTAGACAGGAAGCTCACTTTTAAAAGTCACGTAAGAAATATGTGCGGGAAGGCCACAGCGCTCTACTCACAACTATCGAGGGCTGCTAAAATCAGTTGGGGTCTTCAACCAGAAATCGTAAGGACGATTTACGTCGCAGTTGTGGAACCGGTGGTACTGTATGCGGCGAGCGTATGGGCGCCGGCTGTTAGCAAACTTGGGATCCGAAAGCTTCTTAACACCGTGCAAAGAGGATTCGCTCAGAAAATTATTAAAGCATACCGAACCGTGTCTCTACACTCGGCTCTAGCACTGGCAGGCTTGCTTCCTCTGGACCTAAGAGTCCAGGAAGTAGCATCCCTCTTTGAAGCGAAGAGAGGAAAGCTCCAGTCAGTGCTGGGGACCGGGAGGTGGAGACAAGGGCGAAACTTGTGGAATTGCCCCACCCAGCATCTTATATGGACTTGGAATTCATATGCCTGGTAGACGAGAACGAAATAACACTCAATAACACACAGAGTCTCCGAATTTTCACCGACGGGAGCAAAATAGAGGGAAAGGTCGGAGCAGCACTTTCTATATGGAATAGTGAAGCCGAGATCAGAACTCTAAAGCTTAAACTGTCGGACTATTGTACCGTGTATCAGGCAGAATTACTGGCCGTATACAGGGCAACTGAGCAAATCCTCAACAGCGCTGAAGTAAGTTTTGGAGTTTACAGTGACTCGAGATCAGCTCTCGAGACCATTGTAAACCACGACTCTCAACATTCCCTAGCAGTAAAGACCCGCAAAAATATAAAAACCATCGTGGAGCAACAAAAAAGCATTCAACTTTTTTGGATTAAAGCCCATGCGGGTCTGGCAGGGAATGAACGAGCTGACGAATTGGCTAAGCTCGCCGCACTGCGGAAAAAAGGTAAACCGGATTATGACCAGTGCCCGGTCTCCTACGTAAAGCGTCTCATCCGAGAAGAATCCATAGAAAAATGGA